CCTGCCAAATCTGTACCTTCATCTCTGATATTTCTTTCTTGGCTCTTTTTGCTGGATCCTCATGTTTTCCCCACCGTAGTTTATGGGCTCCTCTGGGCTCTATGGTGAGTCCTTCTCTATGTCACATGTTTTCCCTAAGAAGTATCATCTATCCCCATGGTCTTTTTTTTTTTTTTTTTTAATATATTTTTAGTGTTGTTGATAAGACTTTTATTTCATTTATTTATTTGTGGTGCTGAGAATCAAACCCAATGCCTCACACACGTCAGGCAAGTGCTCTGCCACTGAACCACAATCCCAGCCCCTACCCCTATTGTCTTAACTACCACTTGTGCCCTAATGAATTCTTAACCTTTAGTTTTTAACACTTTTCAAGTTCTGGCTGGTCCTTGTATCACACAGCTCCATTTAATGGTTCACCAGATACCTCAAAATGAACATATACAAAATATTTAGTCTTAAGAGATGGGTTAACCATTTGTGACCCAGGAGCATTCTCACATTCCCTTAAGCCTTGAGCTTCTCATGTGTTCTCTATCTTAGTGAATGGAATGATCATGAACCAAATCAACCAATCCAGAAACCAAAGATGTATCATATTATATTCCCACTAATTTTAATTAGGCATTAAATATCCTAATGATTTTGTCTCCTAAATGTTGAGTCTATTGACTCTTGATGTTTCTATTTTTATTACTGTAATTTATATCTCATCCCCTTTACCTGCTAATGTGGTCTCCTGTCCTCCTTCAACTCATTATCAAAATGAACTTTAAAATATGCAAATGCCATGTTACTTTTCCTACTTTAATGGCTACTTCTTGTTTCAGAATAAAATTAAAATTTCTTTGAACAATATACATGTTCTGTTTGCTTCCCATCTCTCATCTTGTTGCTTCCTTTACTTCCCCCTCTTCCTTCCTTCCTTCCCATCTCCCTCCCTCATTCCTCCTACCAACTCCATCTCTATTTTTCCCAACTACACAGCATACTTAGTTTCTTGAGCATGCTGTACTCTCTCATGACTCCATGCCTTATTCTTTTTATCTCGAATGCCTTTCTTCACCTTGAACAACTAATAAATCCTGCTTATCCTTCAAGATTCATTTTAGTGTTTCTTCTCTGAGGCTATCCTTTAATCTCAGTACAATTAATCCTGTGTCTTTCCACTGGATTATATGTATGCTTTTATTACAGAAATATTTACTCTGTAATTGAAATATGTAAAAAAAAAGCATAATGAAAAATCAAATATATCTGTCAGTAAGGTCTTTGAGGGCAAAATTTATGTTTATTTTTTGATGTAGGCATCTAGCATACAGCTTGGCACAGAGTAAATCCTCAGCACATGTAAGCTGAGTAAATAATGAATGAAATCAGTGTCTCAAGAGACATTTAAAGTGTGGGCCAAAGTATGGGCATGACTGAAAGGCCCATCCATCTTGTCTTGGGCAGAGAAACTCATATATTAAAAAAATAAGAATATTTTTTAGTTGTAGTTAAATAAATAAAATAAAGGTATTATCTATTTGTATGTGGTGCTGAGGATCGAACCCAGTGCCTCACACGTGCTAGGCGAGCACTCCACCGCTGAGCCACAATCCCAGCTCTCATTCTTCTTTTAAAACAAAAGTATATTGAGTTACTGTATTGGGGGAGGTGAAGACAGGCTTATTATTTCCTTAGACCTTTTGAAAGTTTTACAAAGAAAACTCATAGTTTAAGGAAGCAGTCATGATTTTGTGTGATTTTTATGATTTTATCTCAGGGGGGTATCCTAGAGATCCTGAATACTATATTGATTACTCGGGATCAGGCTTTAAATAACATTTTAGGAGAAAGGAAGCCTTCTAACAGTAGTATTTTAACAGACTCTAATCTCAAGAAAGAAAAGCAAACTTCAAAGAAAAAAACCTAAAAAGGTATCTGACAGTCCACTGTAGATGGGAAAAATCACTGAATGACGCACACATGATAGTCAGTATTTACGACTTTCCAATCCAAGGACTTAAAGCTTCATGGTTCACAGAAGACCTGTGGGACTGCTATAGAGGGAAGGAGGAAGAGGGCTATAGAGGGAAGGAGGAAGAGGAAGTTGAGTCTCAGGCAGGGTTCCAGAATCTCCTATCTCACTTTTTAGTCAGAGCAGTTTCTCTTTTAATTTGGTTCATATATTGTACCACCACCTAATATTTTGTTTGACTAATTTGGATGCTAAAAATATAAAACATTGATAACCACTGGTAGTGAACATGGACATACATTACTTGGACATAGTGGTTTTATCTAAGCTGACTCCAGCTGTTTAAGTGGAGACTACTTTACCTTACAATTCATGTGTCTCTCTTTGCTGTCAAGCTGGAAGAGCTCATGGAGGCGGAAGATGCTCTCTCTGAAGCTAATGTGTTAAACAACTACAATGCTGAAGTATGGGCATACCTGGCTCTGGTCTGCCTGAAAGTGAGTATTCTTATTCTTATGCAATGCCTTTTAGGGAGCACAGGTTAGGGGCAAAGTAAGTGAGAGATAGAAGATGGCTATTAATGCATAATAGTTGTAGTTTAATGAGATCTAGATTTGGTCATTATTACCGATGACAACGGAAAGGCCAACCCTGAGAATCCTCTACTTGCAATGTATATAAAACTCATATATTCAAATGTGATTTTCTAGTTAAGGGAGTTCTAAAAATGTGACCATTGTTCTGTTAGAACACAAACCAGATTAAGGATCCATGAAGGAGATGCTCTCTGAGTCTTTCTGAATCATTTCTTTCTCTAAACCTGTGGCTGAGGGTGCTTGTCCTTGATTCATATGGGAAACAGGTTGAAGAAGGTATTATGGGAGTTCTTGATAGGTACTTTACCTATTAAAAAAATAACTCTCCTATAGTGAGACTTAAATAACTTGCACATTAGTCTAAGATCAAATTGGGAATAATGAGAGCCACCCTCAGTTTTTTCTTTAACCTTTATTTATTTATTTTTATTTGGATCGAACCCAGTGCCTCACATGTACTAGGCAAGTGCTCTGCCACTGAGCTGCAATTCCAGTCCCACCCTCAGTTTTTCAATGACCAATGACACGAAAGAGGGAATATTATAAGGGAAATGAACAAAATAAAAATGTAATTTGTATGTAAATTTTTTTCACAGTATTTCCTAGTGGCTCAAAATGGGAAACATTTGTTTACTCCATCAGTGAATGAGTAAACAAAATGAGAATATTTACACAATATAGTACTACTCCATAATTACGATGAAATTTTGATACATATTAGCAATGTGGATGAGCCTCAAAAACATTAATGTAAATGAAAAAATAAAGGTAGAAAGACTACATCTGTTATGATTCCCTTTATTTGAAATTAGAGAAACTATATAAATAGTAAAAATAGATTAATGGTTGTCTGGAGGCAAGGGTGGGGTGAGAATGAGGACTATAAAATAGGCATGAAAAAACTTTTCTTTATTTTATTTTTTGGTACCAGGGATTGAACCCAGGAGCACTGAACCACAGAGCCACATCCCCAGCCCTTTTTGGTTTTTTGAGGCAGGGTCTCACTAAATCCTTAGGGCCTTGGCTTTGAACTTGTGATCCTCCTGCAGCAATCTCCAGATCTGCTGGGATCATAGGCGTGTACCACCACAACAAATACATGAAGAACTTTTCAGGGTAACAGAAGTCTTTAAAAACTCGATTATGGCTGAGGTTGTGGCTCAGCAGTAGAGTGCTTGCCTAGCACGCAAGGCCCTGGGTTTGGTCCTCAGCATCACATAAAAAAAAAAAATAAAATAAAATAAAAGGTATTGTTAAAAAAAAAACCCACAAAACCTGGGCTGGGGTTGTGGCTCAGCAGTAGAGCGCTCACCTAGCACAGGCGGGACCCGGGTTCGATCCTCAGCACCACATAAAAATAAAGGCATTGTGTTGTGTCCATCTACACCTAAAAAATAAATATATATATATATATTTTTTATAATTTTAATATTTATTTTTTAGTTTTCGGCGGGCACAACATCTTTGTATGTGGTGCTGAGGATCGAACCCTGGCCGCGCGCATGCCAGGCAAGCTTGCTACCACTTGAGCCACATCCCCAGCCCCCCTAAAAAATAAATATTAAACAACAACAAAAACAATAAAACTGGATCATGGTGATGGTTGAACAACTTACTAGACCTTGAAAGTAGTGAATTCTGTGGTATATAAAGTGTACTTTAATGTAAGCCATTTTAAAAACACAATTTAGTCTCTGAAAATGAGGAGCAAGTAGATATTTAATAAATAGTGGTGGGGAAATTGGATTCTACCCATTTGAAAAAGAAATTAGTTTCTTATCTCACACCCCCCTACAAACACACACACACACACACACACACACAATTCCAGCTGGTTTAAAGACCCAAATCTTAAAAGCAAAACCTGTTGAATACCTAGAACAAATACAGAGAAGATTCCTATGATCTTGGCTTATGGAAGTTTTCTTAGGGCTCTAAAAGCACAAACTAAAAATAAAACACCTTAACTACTTTAAGGTTGGAAACTCACACATATCAAAACAGAAAACCCAGTGACATAAAATTAGTATCCAAGTTATATAAATAGCTCCTATAATAAGGAAAAAAAAAAAAAACCCTATCAACAAACTGGTTTAAAAAATAGGCACAGGATAGGAATATGCAGCTTGCTAAAGTAGATCACTAGTAAGCATGAAAATACAATTCAAAATAATGTGACAAATTCACAATTCTTGAGGCAAAAATCAAAATAATGTGACAAATTCACAATTCTTGAGGCAAAAATTAAAGTATGGTATTACCAACATTAATGAGGATTCTCATAATTGCTAGTGGATGTAAATCAGTACCACAGTATAAACTTTTTAAGTGCACTGTAACATTATTCACTCACATTCCTACCTGTAATCTGGCAATGCTGCCGCAGTCTGGCTGGGCAAACTAAGGGGGGCGGTGTGTGACAAGGAACTTGTGAAGGTTGATACAGCGGGAACCGCTTTATTACGGGACAGAGAAGTATATATACCCAACTAATTACACACAGCTTAACTTAATTAACATAAACTAGATACAGCAGTCAACCAATAAGGAATCAGCATCTTAATGATTACACACAGCTTAACTTAATTAACATAAACTAGACACAGCAGTCAGTCATTAAGGAATCTCTATCATCTTAATGGTTCGCTGGCGTTACTTCTCAAACCACTCCTCTTGGCAAAGTGCCAGGCGCCATCTTGACTTGTCTATGGCTCTCAACACAATGCCATATCTAAATACGTTTCTTAAGAAAAATACATGATAAGTGCCACGACCAGTGCAGCCAAACTAGCATGTTCCAGCAAGGGGCAATGAGAGATGGGAAGAAATAAAGAGGAAACACAAGCAGATCTTGACGATAAAGCAGCTGGAGTCAGATGGAGCAGCTGCTCTCTGATGCAGAATCAGGTCTCAAGAATTACACCAGCAATCTTTATCATATATGTCTCTAAATCAGATGAAAGGCTATGCAAGCATTATTCTTTTTTTTTTTTTTTTTAAAAAATATTAGTTGTAGTTGGATACAATACCTTTATTTTATTTATTTACATGTGGTGCTGAGGATGAACCCAGGGCCTCCACTAAGCCACAACCCCATCCCCAAGCATTATTCTTTGTATTCATGAAGTTAACAGAATTAGCAACAGAATGCAGCTGTTTCCTCAGTTACATTCTATAGTTGCAATGTGCAATGTTAGGAGCTTTGTGCAGCTCTGAGGAAAGTCCACTGTTTAAAGTTACTAATTTGAGGGCAGATTCAGGAGCATGGAACTGGTGAAACATTGTTGTTTCCTTAGCAAGGAAGTTCCTTCATTCCCAGGAGCTGCTGTGCCTGAGAATAAGGTCAAAGCTGATAAGACTCTAGCATGGAGGACATCTCCATATGCCTTTACACAGAAACTTTCCCAGTCAACAAGTATGCCATAGGCATGAAGTCATCAGGGAGCCCAACCTCAGACACTAGTCTCCCAGTCACTATCACCACTCTCCGCACATAAGAATGTATATCTTTATTTCATGGAAGCTCTATTAAGCATTACTGTAATGATGTTCAGAATAATAAAATTATTTTTCAAAACTGCTTGGAGGGGCTGGGATTGTGGCTTAGCGGTAGAGCACTCGCCTAGCATGTGAGGCCCTGGGTTCGATCCTCAGTACCACATAATAAAATAAAATAAAGGTATTGTGTCCAACTACAACTAAAAGTAAATGTTTAAAAAAAAAAAACAAAAAAACCTGCTTTGACTATTCTGGATGCTCACATCATTTGGGCCTCTGCCTCCCTTCATCAGGAGGGAGTCAGAGGTAGTAGTGGTAGAAAGAGCAGGTATACTGGAACTTCAGGAGGTAATATTTCAGATGGTAGATGCTGTAGGAAGTGAGGGTTTGGGGCATCCAAATTTTGTGAATTAGTAAAAATTCCACATGACTAGCACTGATCAGGAGATTGGATTAAACATCCAAAGTTCCCTTGCAGTGCAAATATTCTGTGGTTTTTTACATATAAGCTTTCCTTAGTGACTATACATATTCTAACTTCTTATATTCAAACTTGTGAAGTGTAATAGGGAATACATATCATCTCATTTAACTCTTGGAGGAGAGCTTCATGCAAGGAATATATCAACTGGGCAGAGTAGTTAGTTTTCTCACCTCATATCCAGAGCTGCATGGAAGGAATCCTAATATTTACTTTTTATAATACATGGAGATGGGATAAAGTATAGTAGGTAAAAACTTGGACTCTGGAGCCAGACTTCATTTTTTTAAAACCCAGATCTTCCACTTACTAGTTAAAAAACCCTGGCAAGTTATTTATAATCTCTGTGCCTTAAGTTTCTTTCTGTTAACGTGGAATGATAAATAATAGTAATTATCTGGGAGTGAGGTGGCACATGCCCATAATCCCCAGTGGCTTGGGAGGCTGAGGCAGGAGGATCACGAGTTCAAAGCCAGCCTCAGCAACTTAGCAAGGTTCTAAACAGCTTAGCAAGACTTCGTCTCAAAATAAAATATAAAAAGGGTTGGGGGACTAGGATTGTATCTCAGCGGTAGAGTGTTTGCCTAGCATGTGTGAGGCACTGGGTTCAATCCTCAGCATCGCATAAAAATAAATAAAGGTATTGTGTTCATCTAACATTTTTTTTTTTAATGGGCTGGGGATGTGGCTCAGTGGTTAAGAGCCCCTGATTTCAATCTCTGGTACCAATAATAATAATAATAGTAATTATCTCCAGGTTATAAGGATTAAAAGTGAATATATTTAAAGCACTTAAAGCATCATGAGGAAAACAATGGAAATCACATGTAAAATGTTGCAATTACTAACAAAATGGCATGAATTCTAGGAGGAACAAATGACTCATGAGCTTTTCAGAAAAAAAAATGAGAGGCCAAATTGTTTCTAAAAATTTCCTGGGCTAAAGGAGAGATTTTAAAAAATATTGGCCTTTACTTACCACCTTTTATTTTCCTGCTTCCCCTTTGAATTCAGTTTCTTAACTAGGAAGGTATAATCCTCTCGTTAGGTAGAAACATTTGGAGAAATGTATTTTTCTTACCATGTGTATGACATGTCATCATCACCAGCTGCTGAACTTTTTTCAGGCTGGACGGCAACTGGAAGCAGAGCAGGCTTACAAGTACACACTAAAGGTATGATGCATATACCTCTGTCATTTTGCCTGCACCATGCTGAGGTTGGGAAACAAGGAGAAAGGTGCTTGATTTAATTCAGGACTTTAGAGCATTTCATGATGTGAATATTTTTAGAGAGATTTTTCTTACTGTCTTTGCCATCATCATGGGGCTGCTAGGTTTTTAACCATAACCTACATGTTGTCTAGGTGATCTTTTTTTCCACTGTTTTAGAATATAGCTTAATGGGAGAAAAGAAACAAGGAACCCTACACTATAGCTATTTTACCTCCAGGGCTTGTTTAGGTATTCCACCCAATGACATTAGCTTACATTGGCCACAGTCAGTCATCTGACTACCTTCAGCTGCCAAGGAAGCAGGAATGTGATTTTTGAACTGATTAGTATTGTTGCCCTGGGAAGAAATTAAGATTTTGCTAGTAAGAGAAGGTTATTCAGCAGGTTACTAGATGGCTTTCCTACATACCTAGATTCTAAAATTAAATTCAGATATAATTTAAGTCTGTGATTCATGTATCTCTGATTACTTCCTGTCAATTGCCAGATGGGAATATACATATTAGCCAAGAGATGTTGGTAATAATGTGAACAATTTTAAAAATAAACTTTAATAAAGTGACCTTACAAAAAATGTACAAATCATGAAAGCTCATAGCCCCTGATGCATTTTGAGAAAGTAAAGGTACCCATATAAACAAAATAACGCTCTAAAGTATTTTAATAGAGCTTCCATGAAATAAATATAGGAAAAGCCAATCCCATCCCTGGGGACTTTGCTCTTTAGCTGTGGCCCCATAAATGAGGGGTCATCTTCAAAGATACTTAGGTGTATCAGATATAACCTGTGTACTTCCCTTCCTTGTTCCTGTAGCTGAAACTGAAAGATGAGGCTCTACTTGCAGAAATCCACACAGTACAGGAGATGGTTGGCTTCGGAAATCCATCTTTCTGACATCCTTAAAACTGAAGAATTTTCTGTATGGGACTCTGAGCTCCTTTCCTTTCCAGAGAAAGTTTCACCATATGAAGCTTAGAGCTGGAGAACCAAAGAATGTTTGTTTTCATTGAAGAGAAACTCATTCATTTATATCCATTGGCTGTTACTGGATGTTTTACTAATCGATAGTAAACTGGATCATAATAAAAATGTTAACGAGACAGACAATTCATCAGTGTGGTTCTGGAGGTAGGGTATACTAAACTATAAGTAGTATGTATATATGTATATAATATAAATGTATAAATCATTATATAATTTATGTATAGAAATTAAATTAAGGTACAGTGGAGTCACTGTTAGGTTTTCTGATGAAAGCTTCTGGGGTCACTATGGAGGAAGTCAGCTGCCAATGTCCATGGCCAGGTTCACGTACTGGAACTTGGAATTAAGCCATCATCTTCAAAGGTGGGCCTAAAAGACTCCTATGCTGGGTCAACTTACTAGAGCAAAGAGCATAGTAGTTGTGGCCAGGACCTTTGGAAACAAGGATGAACAAAGAAGCTTTGCTGCAGTCTGAGGTTCTAACTCCTAATGAACCAGGGGTATTTTCATGGATCTAAATCACAAGGTCTATGAAGACAACACCCTATAAGAAATGCCAAACTCTTCACTTAAGATGACAAATCATACTCCACTTCTGCCTTCTTGGATCACAGTACAGCAAAAGCAGGAATAAAGGTTCTCCTAATATGATGTGATGCCTCTGGGAGTGGGAAAAGAGAGGAAAAGTGAGAGGCAAATTAGTAAACAGAAAGATAAACTCTAGTCATCTGTAATACCACTCGTTGTCTTGGCCCAAACGCTGTCCCCTTTGCGAAGTCTCCTGAGAAAATCCCGGCGTCGCCTTCTCGGGCTTCCCTTTCTCTACTTACCCCCGCTTGGAGTACAGACCGCCCTTACCTTTTCTGGTGCGCTCCCACCGACTCCCTACTAGACAGAGCTCCCTGAGGGGAGAGGACAGCACCCTTTTGTATTTAGGTTCTCAGGACGGCGCCGCGGCACCACTAGGTACTCAAAACACGTTTGCGGGATGTATGGGTTTGGGGAGCACTTAGCCCTCCTCTGAACGTGACCGGCATTTTCCCCAGCTCCCCACTCCAGCGGGCACTCATCCCAGAGAAGGTCACACAGCCACTCCTAAGACGCCACCTGGAACGCCCCCGAAGGCCGCACGGTGTAGCACCCTGGGAACAAGATGGGGGAGAGCGGAAGAGGCGGGGCGAGGGGACGTCCGCTTCCGGGACCGCGGCTTTCGGGTTGGGGAAGCTCCCGGGCGTCCCAGCAGCTGGGCGCCGACTCTCAGTCGCCCTGCGACTTCACCTGCGGGTCTGTATCAGCAGCGGGACGATCCAAGGAGCCGCACGTGGACCGCACCATGGTCCACCTCAGTGAGTCATCGCGGCCCGCGGGACCTTCCGGGCGGTGGCGGGAGCTGGGGCGTCCAGGACTAGAGGCAGCAGCGCTCTCCTAGGCGCACTTGATCAGCCACGCAGCGTTACAGTTGAACCTCTGCTCAGATTTTCCTTCCAGAAACCCTCGTCTCATTTTACAGATGAGGCAGTTAAGGGTACGACAAAGTCAAAGAGTTTGTAAATGGTAGGCCTTTTCGGAATGGATTTGGGGATGAGGCGAGCATTTCTGGCTGGAGCAGTGAAGGGATGTTTCACAAAGAGGATGGTATCTAAGCCACATTAACTAGAAAACATTGAGAGTGAAGACGTTTGAGTGGAAGAAGGGAATTGTTCCTCTGACTATCTCATTTTTGCCTGCTTTGTGCTCTCTGATCTTGTGTCTTAACCAATTATTTCTCTATAGCTACCCTCCTCTGCAAGGCCTATCATGGGGGCCATTTAACCATCCGCCTTGCTCTGAGTGGCTGCACCAATCGGCCCTTTTACCGTATTGTGGCTGCTCACAACAAATGTCCCAGGGATGGCCGTTTCGTGGAGCAGGTGGGCTCTTATGATCCACTGCCCAACTGTCATGGAGAAAAACTTGTTGCCCTCAACCTGGAAAGGATCCGGCATTGGATTGGTTGTGGAGCCCACCTCTCTAAGCCTATGGAGAAGCTTCTGGGTAACTCAGCTCTGGTCTTAACTCATTGGGGGGATTTTACACTGAAGTCAGTTCTAAGTTCTCATCATCTGAGATTGAAGAATGTTTTTCATTCCCTCCAGGCTACTCAGGACTGGAGTGAAAACTGAAGTTGTGATCTAATTGTCATTTTGAATCTGGAGATTCCTTTTATGGACTTCTTTATGAAGCCTTTATAAGTGGCTGGGATTTTATGCTAAAAATGGGAATAACATATCTCCAATGGCCATCTGTTAGTTTACCTTTTTTTCAAGTAAGGAGAATAATGTTAGGAAACAGACATCATCCACTGACTCCTTGCAGTAAATGGAGGGAGGAGGTTGGAGGAAGAGGAAGGAGAAAGTTTGGTAGGTGAGAGGCATTTACATCCATACTCTGGGTCTGAACTCAGACCTCAATTCTGTGAGGCAAACTTCTCAGGGAAACATTGGCTTGTAGTCTATTATAATAAATGAATATCCTGTTGCTTTTAGGTCTTTCTGGCTTTTTCCCTCTGCATCCCATGGTGATCACAAATGCTGAGAGACTGCGAAGAAAACGGGCACGTGAACTTCTCTTAGCTTCACAGAAAACAGATACAGAGGCTATAGAAACAGAAGCGAGTTGACTTCAGTGAATATAACAGTGGTTACAAAGTCAAGGTCCCCTAAAACACTTGTGTGGAGCTCATAAATTTGTTGGGTTTGGAGGTCAATAAATGGAATTTTCTAAGCTACCATATTCTTCTGGCCTAGCTTAAGCAGAGCCCAGAGATTTGTTTTTGTATAAGAGCTGGGTCTAGATACTAAGCATTTTGGGATGTCATTTTGGGGAAAAACTGTGGCTGTGGGGAAGATTGGACTTTGGGTTGTCCTTGGATCATTTGGGCAAATTTACAATTGAAGTTCAAAACTTTCCTGCTTCAAAAACTCCCAACCAGAGTGACTTGACCTATCCAAATGTTTCCTTAATCATTCTTGATCATCCCACAAGAACATAGATCTCTTATTCTTTTTTTTGTAATTGTAGATTGTTTTGCTTATCATGTAATTGTAACTTTACAAAGACAAATTGATCGTGAAAATTGCTTTTGGGCTGTAATAGCCTACCTTTTAAGGATGAGAAATTAGAAGGAAGCTAATTTTGTAAAGCACCCCAATGTACCTACCTGGAAAGTCCTGTTCAACATATGTTGTATGTATAGGGGAAAAAATAAATAAAGATGGGATACTTTTAAAAGTCTACTTAGAAATTCAGTAATAGGATCATGTTTAAGTGTCATGAGTCTGGTAACATAAATGATTGATTACCAAAACAAAATATCACAGTATCTGTCCCCCAAGAGATGCAGAATTCCATAACTGTAAGCATAAATTACATGGTTTTAGTGCCTTCTGGATAATATATATTTCAAATTTTGGTATAAGACTAAGATACAGCCAAGTGTGTTGACACATGCCTATAATCCCAGGGGCTTGGGAGGCTGAGGCAGGAAGATTGCAAGTTCAAAGCGAACCTCAGCAACTTAGGCCCTAAGCAACTTAACAAGACCCTGTCTCAAAAAAAAAAAAAAAAAAAAAAAAGGAGGGGGTTGAGGATGTGCCTTGGTGGCTAAGCACCCCTGGATTCAAATTCAATCCCTGGCACCAAGATAAGACAAAAAAAAAAAAAAAAAAAAAAAAAAAGAAAAAAAAGAGACTGAGATACAGGAAATTAAAAAGTTTCTAAAACCCTATCAATATTCAAACGTATTCTCTGGGCTGTATATTCTGAGAACAATTAATGGTCATCTCAAATTCTAGAGTCTTGGAAACTCCCCTAGGATTGTTTTGTTTGGCTTCTACTTGCTTTGAGAAGACTTTCAAGACATGACAGACAGGCAATGGACTTTATGTAGATTTGACCTGGGATCTGAGAAATGCTTTTGAAAACCCTGGCAACTCTGGATGTTTGAAAGATCAACGTGCCTTGGAAAGTTTGAGGCTTTGCAGGAACTTCTGGCAGAGGATTATGGGATTTTGGATGTGAAATGGGTTATTATTCTGAGCTCCACTGGGTTTCTTTCAACTCACTTTCCATTCTGGTTTATCCTTTGTCTGGTCTAAGATCTGTATACACATATTTCTTGCGTGGGCTTATCTTGATTTCCAAAATTTTCTCCAGCCTTAGTCTTGCTTTGGATCTCCAAGCCTATGTTTCACACATGTATTGGATGATAGCCCCAGCCACCCTGCTCTCCCCTCAAATCCAATATGCTCAAATTCCGCTGTGAACTTTACTAAGCATTAAACAGTTTCTGCTTCAGCAGCTTCGGTCTTTACTAAAATGAGAGGTTGGGTCATCTTACCTCCTCCAGTGTATAAGGTAACTCTGGAACAGGAAGATGATTGGGGTTGATTTCTTTTAAGTCCATGAGTACTGTCAGATAAAGAGTTTCGTTTTTTAAAATACTAAGACTGGTGTTTTGTGCTTTTATTCAAATAATCTTTTTGCTGCAGGGCTTGAAAGTACCCTGACACTACTGAATTATTTGGGAAAATACAAATTTACTTAACAGGTTGAGCCATGTGAAATTACTGAATGCCGATATTGACCAATTACCATTTAAAAAAAACTTTGACTTGTAAATACAACCTAATACACGGATATTCTTATCAGTGAAGAAGTGCCTGCTGGAACACTGGGAGCAACATAGGAGATAAAGTTCCACAGCAAGAGGAGGGCGGGCTCGAGAGGATGTGGTGGACCCCTGACGGTTAGGGCTCTCGCTCTAGAAAACCCAAACGCCGGTTGCACTTCCGGGTCTGGTTTTTCCAAGGCCGGAGAAAACTTGGCCACGCCCTCTTTACAGCGGCCGTAAAGTGAGTCTACTCGGCGCGGCCCCGCCCCTTCCGCGTATTTTGTGACGCAGGCGCCCTGGGCTTTTTGAGCGGGAAAAGGAAGCCAGGCAAACTAAGGTGCGGCGGAGACTTGCTTCTTTCGCGGAGCCCTTCCGATTCTCAGCATGGGGCTGTTGGCGCAATGCGAGCAGGTGTTCGGTACCACCGACCTTTACCGGGTGCTGGGCGTACGGCGCGAGGCCTCAGACGGCGAGGTTCGGCGCGGCTACCACAAAGTGTCCCTGCAGGTTCACCCTGACCGGGTGGACGAGGGAAACAAGAAAGACGCTACCCTCCGGTTCCAGGTACGTGTGCCTACGCTGGGATTCAGTCTTTTGGGCTTCCAACCACTGCGAACCGCCTAGGGGAGGTGCGTGATCTTGACCTGGCGTTTTCTACCTTTATTTTTCGCGGTGTGGGTAAGGGCACGGGTGAGTTTTGGATGCTCTTTTCTCTCAGATCCTTGGGAGAGTTTATGCGGTTCTAAGTGACAAAGAGCAGAGAACAGTGTATGATGAGCAGGGAACAGTGGACGAGGACTCTACGGTGCTCAACCAAGACCGCGACTGGGAGGCCTACTGGAGGTTACTCTTTAAAAAGGTAGGTGGGCTTTGAAGATTTCTTTGATTATTCCCATTATTTAATAAACAAACGTTCATTAAATGCCATGGGAGGCCTTCAGTTTTGTGTTAATTTTGAAGAAACTGAGGAATTTGAGTTTAACACAACACACACTCTTAAGTAAACAGGCCTTTCATTTCATGCTGATACAGTGTGATTGTGTGGTGAAGACTGGAGTGTGTGTTCAGGATGTATCTTACGTATTCAGTTGCGTATATGTTTATATGGTTTTCTTCCCATCCTTTTGGAAACTTCACTTAAAATTTCTTTTCACTGGTTCCTAGTTTAGCAGTTGTGACTGATGGACTAGGGAGAACTCTGAAAAAATCTTAGGCATGGGAAATTTGGTTACTTGCCACAATTTTGACTCAAAACACTGTTGTGTTTGCGAAGAAGCACTTAAATCTTCAGTTTTACTAGTATACCTTTTATTTAAAATAAGATTCTTGATATTACAGCCATCTCCCTTATCATCAGATATCTCTAGAGGACATTCAGGCTTTTGAAAAGACCTACAAAGGTTCTGAAGAAGAACTGGATGATATTAAGCAGGCCTATATGGACTTCAAGGGCGACATGGATCAGATCATGGAGTCTGTGCTTTGTGTGCAGTACACAGAGGAACCCAGGATAAGGAACATCATTCAGCAAGCTATTGATGCCAAAGAGGTCCCATCCTATAATGCCTTTGTTAAAGAGTCAAAACAAAAAATGAATGCAAGGAAAAGGAGGGTAAGAGTTTAAATGCTATTGATGGTTTGTATCTTAATTTCCTACAAATAGGATTTGAGAGTATTTATAACAATAGAAATAAAGACTGTGGACAAGGGTTAAGGTTAGGTTGGTCTATAGCTTTCATGTAATTATATGAGCATATCAGTTCAAGAAAAACCTCTTTATTTTGGTATGTGGTGCTCAAGATGATTTTATTGCATGAATTGTTTAGTATCATCTTAGGGTAATACTGAAATATCTTTCATATGTGCCAATTCTTATGACTTTGCTGAAGCACTTATCAGATGAAGTGATATGGAGCCCAGGTGTGTACCATAGATGCCAGTTCTTATTTGGTTGATGAACAAGGAGAAGGATGCAAGAGATTGTGTCTTGTTAAAAAGTGCAGGTTGTGGTGTGGTGTAGCTCAATGGTGGAGCACTTGATCCCTAGAATTACACACACACACACACACACACACACACCAAAAAAAGAAAAAAAAAATTGGGTGCTGTATATCTGCCTGTTACTCAGGAGACTGAGGCAGGAGGATCACAACTTTGAGACCAGTCTGGGAAATTTAGTAAAATCCTGCCTCAAAATGAAAAAAGCCAGGAGTATACCTTAACTTCACATATGTAAGCCCCTGGGTCAATCTTCAGTACCCAATGGGGGAGGGGTACAGAGCAGAGTAGATTGCTTACCTCATAAATTTGTACACCTAATGTATATCAAATTTTTGAATAGAACTCACAATGCAGAAATGCAGGTTCTTGAGCCTTTTAGGGGGATTGATTCTTAAGTTGGATCCACAGTGTACTTTTTTTCAAATGAATAGTTTATTTTGATGAGGGTGTTTTTATGGCCTTTGAGAAACACTTATTCAATAAGTATTATGGCCTGAGTATCTTTACACCCATATTAAACTGGGGTAGGGCCAGGGAATGATAGCAGAAGAAGGTGCTTAAGGATAGATGGAGTTTAGGGAGAGAGTGAATTCAGAGTAGCCATGTCTGCCTCTGGTCTTCTGGAAAAGCTACTTTGGACTCATATCAAAGTAACCATTTCTTTAGCTTGGCTTTCATAATTGTAGCACCATGGAGAGCAGACAATTAAAGATTTTAGATATTGGTGGGTACTTGAGGTTCTTTTTTGTGCGGCTGACTCAGGTGTGTGAAAAGTTCTGCAGCTTCTAGGAACAAGATAACATGCAGGAAGAAAGCTGACCTTTTTTATTTTGGTACAAATTTAAAGGGTCTGTTTTGTCTACATAAAAGGCCAGGGCGGTTTCTGTTGAACTAGGCAGAGAAGTGGAAAGCATAAGAACATAATTGTTTTGCATCATTGGCTACATCTGCTTAGAAGTAGGCTCACAGTTTGTCATTTTCCCAGGTGAAATTGAGTATACCTGTATTCAATAATAGGCCATTAGCTTGAGGAAAATCCCTAGAGTTTGAGGGGAAAATAGCACAGCCCCTCCAGTAGATCAGGGTGAATTAATTTGATTTGCTGGGTCTGAGTC